CACAACTTCGGCACAGGAAATAGCAGGGAGGTGGCAGCTATACAGCTCAGTCGAGAAAAGAAAAAAGAAAGAAAGAAAGAAAGAAAGAAAGAAAGAAAAAGAAATGGAAGGAAGGAAGGAAAAAGAGAAAGAAAGAAAGGGGGAGAGAGGGAAGAAGGAAAGAAAAAGAAAGAGATGGAAGGATGGAAAGAAAAATTAAAAGAAAAAAGGAAGGGAGGAAAGAAGGAAATAAAGAGATGGAAGGATGGAAAGAAAAAGAAAAGAGAAAAAGAAAAAAGGAAGGGAGGAAAGAATGAAAAAGGGAGGGAGGAAAAGGAAATAAAGAGATGGAAGGATGAAAAGAAAAAGAAATAAAAGATAAAAAGAGAAAAAAGGAGGAAAGAATGAAAGAAAGAAAGAAAGGAAAAGAAAAGGAAGGAAAGAAAAAGAAAGGAAACAAAGAAAAGGAAATGAAAAGAAAGAGAAAGAAAGAAAGGAAAAGAGAGAAGGAGAAAGAAGAAAAAATTCTTCAAGGCATATGATAAAAATAAATATATTCAATTGCTCTGATGGAAGACTTGCTCTGGATTATTCGCCAAAGTCTGCAAATTTAGTGTATTTGATAGGTGAAGAACTGAATTAAAATATGACACTGTCCTTGGGGAAGGTAACTATTCAGTGGCCTGACTGAAAAATGGCAAGATTTCCTCCCACCCACCCCCGCCAGTCCTTGAAATCAAATGAGCAATAGCAGGAACCTTCAATTCCGTAATTCAAATAACAGTTCAACGTGCAGGAGTTCGTTCACTTCTGCATCCATCCTCCTGACCTGTCATGAAATTAAGGTGCAATAATCCGCCAGACGAAAAGAACTGCTCAGATAAGACACGGCTCTTTCTCGGTTTAAACCACAGAATTGGGAGGTGGCCCCTACTGAAGGCGGAGGCTGCAATCACTGAACACGCTTAACTAACTTGCCAAGCTAACTCACTTTCTACGTGCGCACAAAACAGTTATTCCTAAACAAACCCTGCAAGGCTGGATTAATTTGCACAACATCCCTGAGCTGCAAGGCGACGAACCGAAGGGAAGATGTAACCGAGATTTGCATAACGCACACATGGAGTTGGGAGGTTTCTAGCTAATCTGAGTAACAATTTTGTGACCAGAAAGCCAGCAGTTCTGGCTTTGAGATTTTTACATAAATATGTTTTTTTAAACGATTTTTTTTNTTGGGCCAATCACCAGGGGACGGTGAGTTCTAGTCCCACCTCAACATTGAAAGCGGTTGAGTGACTTTGGGCCAATAACTCACTCACACTCTGCCCATGTCACCTCACAAAGTTGTGGGAAAAATAGGAAGAGGAAGGAGTATTAGATATGTTCATCACCTTATTTATAAAGTAATAAAGGTGCAGAATAAACAAAAATCTAACCAAAATTTTGGGATTCAGATTCTCACCATGCAGCAGAGACAACTCCTCTTTTCACAGAAACTTTCACATCCCCGGTTCCCCACCCCTCCCCTGAGCTTGTTCATGGTCTTACTTTGGCGCAGGTAGGTGAGGTGGGACAGCAAGATTTCGGTGTTGTAGGGAGAAGTGAGACGTAGGAACCCTTCCTTCCCAAGTTTGCAGAGTTCCTTTCCATCGATGTGCTGAAAGAGGCTGGTATCGATGTCCGGAAGGCCATACTCCTTCACTGCCCAGTCCAGCCACTGACGGACGTGGTCGCAGCTCCAAACACCCGGGTCTGTGAGGGAGAGAGGAGAGATCGGAGTGAGAAGAGAAGAGGTCCATGGCTAGTGGCTTTAAAGCAGGCCTTGGAAGCTGCTAGGAAGGCATGAGATCTGGTGGAACAAGACGGAATCTTCAAATGGTGGTGGACCCATATCCTCTACCAACCTGCTGGAACAATGACCTTCTCCTCTCTGGATGAAGAAACGGGGGGACTACGCTGGTTGGGGTATCCAGTTGGGTAGGGCACTTGGGATGTGTCGACTGCCGCCTCCACTTTGTTCCTGCGGGTGGTACTGCATTCCACCGGTGATGGTCTGCTGGGGAAGAGAGAAGTAGGTATATAGGAGAAGGAGGTCCTCACTCAAGATGGGCAAGGTGCACATCTGTGGAGCATCCACCATAGATGTGAAGCCAAGGAGGGACTCTTGTAAATCCCTTTTTCATCCTATGGATTGAAAAACCATAGGATCCTATGGAAGTCAATCTCCTTTTCAACCTCGGCAACTTTTAAGATGTGTGGACTACCACTCCCAGGATTCTGGTTGTTGAAGCCCAGAACATCTTAAAGTTGCCAAGGTTGAGAAACACGGCTGTAGAACCCTTCCTCCAAGCCTCAACCTTTAGCAGGAGATGCATTTAGGAGCACAGTCTTCTACATCATTCTAGATCAATCAACCGGTTTACCCTGAAGGCAACGTCTTTGGGCGGTCCCTCTTATTCAGTCCAAAAGCCGGTGTGATGGGGAAGGTTTTGGACTAGAACCTGGAGACTGAGATTGTCTTCTCTCTCTTAGGCATGGGAACTGGTTGAGTGTCTTTAGGGGCAATCACTCTCAGAGTGGCTATCATGGGGAAAACAAAAAAGAGCCGAGGTGGCGCAGTGGTTAGAGTGCTGTACTGCAGCCACTTCAGCTGACTGTTATCTGCAGCTCAGCGGCTCAAATCTTACCGGCTCAAGGTTGACTCAGCCTTCCATCCTTCCGAGGTGGGTGAAAT